TAACAACGAAAATTGCAATATGAGCTCTGGTAAAAAAAAAATATATATATATATATTGATAACAGCAAAGATTGCAATATGAGCTCTGGTAAAAAAACAAAAAACAACATATATTGATAACAGCAAAAATTGCACTATGAGCACTGGTAAGAATTGTTACTGAAGACATTTATAAGTCCCAGAAATTCATACAGAAATGTCTTTAAGGACACATGGCACAATGGATAAAGGCGATGGTTAAGATCAAGTGACAGGACCCAAAGAGTTGTGAGTTCAATACCTGGTTAAGAATTAACAGGGGATAACTGATGACTAACATCTATTAGACATGGCACGTGGAACTAGAACAGTCTACCCCAGATTCAGTTCAACCACCTGAAGAAGGCCGGAGCGTACAACGGCCGAAACGTTGTGATAAATATGGCAACAAACATAAAAACGATAGTGTAAAAAATAACGTTGCCATAAAGTGATCGGGAAAAAAATAAAAAAGGACAACAAAAAAGACAACAAAATCGGTTTATCGAACCTCTCTCATAAAAGTTCAATCGAGCAGAAAAAATGTACCCAAGGACATAAATATATAACACTGACATGATAATGACTTTCAGGTTCACCAACCCTTACTTCTGCGTAAGGGAGAATGGCTTGTAGGACTTAATTCAAACGGATAGTAACACATTAAAATGAAAATCGGAATTAGCCAGTTTATTTTACTAAGTTTTTACTAGAAAAAAGGAGCGAGCATCTTGTTGATTTTCTTGCAAATGGCCAGTTGTATTCGCACACAAGGACAATTTCGATATTAACAGTTATTGGTTATATTTTTCATGTTATTCCTTTTTATTTGTTTTAATTTTAATTTCCATCTTAAACTTAACCTTTTTTTATCGGTTCAATAAAATTACGCATGTAAAAATATATGCAAGCTTTTCTTTTGTCGATCCGTACGTCAATTTGCAACGCTTTGCATTCGAACCAAACTTATAAAAACAATTACATTTTTATTTGTCACCTTTATAATGTTCATTACTTCTGCACTAGACACATTATACTTTGTTTACTCTTATATATCAACTTAAAGGTCCCTATTATTATTATTATATTTTTCCAAATGCGTATTTTACGAGCTCCCCCTAAGTTTCAAACTGAAACTTGAAGAGACTGCAAGTCAGCAGAACATAACTTTGTATAATTGGTTGGATATAGAGCTGACATTTAATGTTTCTTAATTGTATGATGCCAGTTTAAAATTTCACTGAAAAGTGTGTGTGTACCCAGATAAGACTTCTGTACAGTTTAGTGCCTGAGAAACTAGATTTATGTCAGAGAATGTGCATGCAAGTTCCACTATCATAGTAGTCCTGGGTATCACGATAAACTACAGCCGGCAGTCTGGTCTCTAATCGTGAGATTGAGGAGCATGGAACCACCTCATAATTGCTGTCGTTTCCAGGTTCAACGTGTCCCGGGGGTGGTAGGAGCTTTTAGGGTCCCAGTTATGGGTAAATAATGAATACTATGAAAGTATAAAATTCATTTTTATAGTAAAAATACCAGCAATAAATTTTATATAAAATTTTTTACCAGTGATACATATTTATAATAAAATTATCAACAATACATTTTAAAGCTGAATTAACAATATATTTTATAGCAAAATGTCCAACAATACATTTTAGCTGTAGTTGAAGGCATAAAACTGTGTTCAAAATATTTAGATTTTGGCATTAGATAATCATAATTGGTTGATATGCCGCTAAACTAAAAACAACCAATATAATTAGTATAGAACCATAACCTGTAACATTGATAAAACCTTCCTGAGCACGTGGGAAGTATCTGTGAATGCAATCTTTTGAATTTTAACCAAACTACTACTACTACTACTACTACTACTAATAATAATAATTATTATTATTACTTTTAGCTCACAGTATATAAGTCTCCACAATTTTCTCGTATATTACAAACCGTAAAATGAAATTGTAAGCAAAAACCCTTTCACCGAAGGAAAACAAAAAAAAAAGTGTAGCAGTTTCGATATTTAAGCGAATTAAGAATAAAGATCACCTATACAGTAGTTACTTCTATTAATTCGCTGGAAAAAAACAGCAGAGTATGATGAACAAAGGCACCAATTTGATAAAGACAAAGTTTTATTGTCAAAATGTTTATATTATTATCAAGAAGAAAGACGAAAGAATTTTAAATTTTTTTAATCATTTGTAGCACTTTGTATATTTTGGTTAAAATCATTTTTTTATGTCAGCGATCGGCTTAAGATTTACTTTATGAGTTTTAACGCTCTTTTCCGGAAAAAATAACAAAAAAAAAAAAAAAAAAATAAAAAATACTGATGTGGAAATTCTTCGAAAAATCAAATAATGGTCAGATTCTAATGAAACTTTCAGCATATTATTTGTGAATTTTTTTTTAGAAATTTTAGGTAAGAATATTTTTATTTTACATGTTATCACCCACTTATTTAATTTCATGAAATTTCAAGAAATTAAATTAAATTGCAAAATTTGTTTTATTAGTTAAAAGCAGGTCACCTTGAAGAATGTAAGTCAATTTTTTTAGACAGTGACCCATTTCCCGAAAATCTGCTCCGAATCGGAAAATAAAAATTAAAATAAAACTATGACATAATTTAATTAGAAAAAAACTTTTAATTGCTTTTAGAAATAAGATTTATTAAGAACACTATTGTCTTAAGAAAAAAAATTTGATGAATAATGAATTTGTGCAAGAATAGTTTTCATTTTTTTAAAAATTTTAATTATAATAGTTACAAGTTTTTCAAATTATTATTTTAATTGCGTTAGGCAATATTGTTATTAAATGAAAACGCTATTTACTAATCAAAAATTGAAAAGATTAATACAAATCATCACGTAGGATTTTTAAATAATTTTTGATTTTCTTTGTAGTGTATAAACGTTCCGATTTTTGTAAGTATGGGCGACCATATACGATATTATCAGAAAATAAGAGCGTATACTATAGTAAGTTTAAAGTCAATATTTCTAAAATTAAATTACGGAGAATATTTTCCAAGGTATTTAAGATTAATGGATACTTAAAAATTATATAAAAAAAAGAAGCTCCGTAGAACAACAATCAATATATCATAACCTTGTTATCACTCGTCAACCACGTAAACATGTCTTCTGTCCAGTTCGTGTGCAACATACTCTTGCGTACGTTCTACTTTGAACACTTTCATTTTGACATCTTCAAAAGAGTCAATAGTTATCAACGCATTTTAAAACAATAAACACTGCTGAAGAGTGGAGGTAGTTGTAAAAGCGGTGTCATGGGAAAAAATGTCCTTTTGAAACTTATTGCCAGTACGTCTGATTTGCCCAATTTCTTACCTCAGATACAGAATACTCTCATTTTTATGGTTTGCCAATCATTCCGTTTATATCATTTTTACCAGAAATACTCTGTCGCAGCTACACTACGCCTTTAAATATTACGTCATACATCCGTCATCTGGCTGCTTCCATTTCTATAAGTGCAGCAAGACCAACCCTTTTTCCGTTTCTGTTTTTTTGTCACTTTCGTTTTTCTATCTTGTTACCATTTTTTATTCGAAGACGCATTAGTATAGCGAAAGATGCCTTCCAAAAGCTAAAAAAATTATTAAGATACAGAAGAATTTCGTTGGAAATAAAGAAAAGCGTATTGAACCGTTTGGCAATGAATGCTGGATAATCTCATCACAGATGAAGCAGAGACTTGAAGGAACAGAAATGTGGTTCTACAGAAGGATGCTAAGAATACGGTAGACTGAACATGTGAGCAATGACGAAGTTTCTAGGATATATGATAACAAAAGAGTATTTAGAGAATTTGATGCTCACAGGACAAACCGAAATCAAGTGGGGCAGACGGGTGAAGCGGAGGACCTACCTAGCCAACTTGAGTAAAAAGGATGGCGGAACAATGTTTAGTAGAGATAACAAAAAGTCAAAAATTAGTAAAAGTTACAAAGAATAGAAATTGTGGAGAGTCATGATCTCCAACGTTCTGAAGGGAGACTGCACATAGAAGAAGACCTTTAACTTGTTTGTAGTATCAGATACAATAGTCTGACTTTCTTAGACGAAGCATTGACATTTTAATTATTATTAATTAGTCTTTGATTTTATTTTTGATCCTTTTCATCGTAACTCTCAGATACCTTTTACTTTGATTATGCAAAATTTTAAGTAACATGGGTCTAGGTGAAGGAGGAATCAGCTATATTCCTTTGATCGTGTTTTAATGGAAGAGCGCCTTAGTGATTAGCTACGAAATCTAATGAGCAGCCATAGTTAAAATTTAACCATTTAATATTGTTTGTTTACACAAAGAATATTAGACTTGAGTGCATTAAGTTGTCTAAATTTCTTATCGTATTTTTTATCCTCTCAGCAATATTCCCGAAAAGAAATATTGCAATATATTCCATTAATGATAATTACGTTTATAAAACTAATTTTTACTCTATGTTCTTTTGATATTGTCTTTCGTTCCTAAGTGTTTTCTATAGCAATAGAAGCAAAATGGAAATACAATATTCCGTTTCATCCATTAATGTTCGGACACAGCCACCGTTAACTCTATATACAACAACGCTAATATATTTAAATATAATACGACAATTCAAACTTAATAGGCAATCACTGGTCCTAGACAAAAAAAAAATGTAGGTAATCTCCATTGGGATCAATATGTCTTTAAGTTTTGGCACAATGGAAATCTAGGAAAATCAGGTAAGAAAATTTATAACCGGCCGCTGCCCTCAAGACGCTGATCGATTAACGTTTTATTTTATTCCCTTGGCATTGTTTACAAGTTTCCCATGGTTTCATGTCGGTTTTATAAAAGCATATTTAATTGTAGTTCAACTGATTGTATTCACATCTGTTGGTTTGGTTCCTTGAATGATAGAAAGCGGGCATTCAGAGAGGAGGTAAAATTAGATGCTGGTTGTAAAATGCTTACATCCATATCCGGTTGAAACACCGGTTCTCATCCAATCGCCGAAGTTAAACAACTTTGAGCCTAGTCAGTACTCAGATGGGTAACCTCGCGCAAATACAAGATGCTGTAATCTACGCAACTGGCCTAGCAAGTCGTCGATGGATACAGTCCCGCAGAAGACCTGGACGTACTTCTGAACTGAGAGATTTAAAAATAACACAGCTAAACATTTTACAAAAAAATTACGTATTTCAAGAGATAGATACAACCCCAAATTGAGTATTGTCTGGATCGGATACTCATGTAGCGATATCAGTGCCAGTTAAAATCTGAGCTGTCACAAAAATTGTTTCAAGCATTTATAAGCTAAGTGAAGTGGACTTCACAAGGACCATGACAAATGACCCTGACAAAGACGGTCACTTAATGAAATTAATTTTTAGACAAAGATGACAAGACAAAGAACAATTTCCCGTATAGGATATTGGTCACTACAAGCAGAAAACACAGAAAGACTGGGAGTCTTGCTACTTATACTGGCAGAAGACTTGAACCTGCTTCTAAACTAACAGGTTTCAAGAGTTGCCTGGAGTTGGGTAAATGAATAATTTTAAAATATAACCCCTACATACTGTTTTGTAGGCGTTTGCAAATGAAAATATCAAGAATTAATTAGATATCATTTTGAGCAAACATAATCAAATAAAAAAACAAACACTGACTTATCTCTAAACAAAGATTAATACCGTTCAGTCTTTGGAGTACTTATATAGTCGTTTTTTTTTTTTACTTTAAAGTACGTTATTTTCTTGTGTATAATACAAATTTTAAACGAAAATTAAAGGCCATTCTTATAAACAAATAAACATTTTCAGAAATCTTTATTTAGTTTTAAAAAATAAACTATTATTTGAGACAGAACGATTGGAAATACACCCATTACATAGATTAATATATATTATAACAATTAATAATAATTACACGTATTCACACATTAATATATAATAAAAATATAATAATGTCGTATAAAACAGAAAAGTATAATAGATTAATTAGTACCTTAATACGAATTATCGGGTATGTCTAGTTAGCATGTTCTCTTGAGAATTCAAAAATAAGTTTTGAAACGGAAATTAGTAGAAAAAAAGCTCAGTGGTTAGATATCCGGTTCATTTCCATTCTTTAATATCGTGAAAATTTGCATTATTTTAATGAGGTACGACATTAAGATGTTAATGAATAATATGGTAGAACTTAAAATACATCGGATGGACTGTACTACAGGGCCTGGTTTGGTTGGGCTTATTTTGTTTTACGGCATATCAACCTCAATGGGTTATTTAATACCGACAATATTTTTTATTGCTGGTAATATTTTGTTTTGTCAAAAATCTATTTCTAATATTATTTTTCTTCAAAATTGTATTGCTGGATATAATTTTTTCAAAATTGTATTGCTGGTAATAATCTTTTCAAAATTGTATTGCTGGTAATAGTTAACTATTTGCCCATAGCTGGGACCCTAACAGGTGCTACCACCCTGAGTCAGGGTGGACCTGGGAACACTAGCGATTAAGAGGTGGTTCCACGCTCCTCAAAACATTCTGATCACAGGCCTTACAGCTGGACGTAGTTTATCGTCTTACCCAGGACAGGGATGTAGTTTAACATTCTTACCCAGGACGAGCACTACAGGGTCGTATTATACTCAAGATTGAAATTTATTCCCTGTTTTTAAGCTTCAGAAACACGAGGCATATTATACTCAAGCAGTATCATACACAAGAAAATACGTTACTCTTGTGTACCAAATAGAAGTGTCGGCAGGGTTAATTTACTTCCTTCACTCACATCGGCATAGTAATTATTTAGCGGAGCACGCCGCTTACTAGAGCACGTGTATTTCTATGTCTTTTTTTTTTTACATTCACTTCCTCTCTCCTTCTCTTTAACATGTTACTGTATCTTTCGCTTTAAGATTCGCCCTTTCTCTCTTTCTTTCTGACATTAATTCCTCAGTCTTTTTTTAAAAATGCAACACTCCTGCCTCTAGTTCTTTTTGCATGCATTATACTCGATCAGTTTCTTTTCTGTACCAAATATAAGTGTCGACAGGATTAAATAATTCCCTTCGATTCGTCGGTGTTTATTCTTTAGAGTCTTGAATATGGCGATAAATTACAATCGGTAGCAAGACCTCTGATCAGGAGACTGGTAGTCTTAATACTTTGCTTAGATTTTGGAAGTTGCCTTTTACTATGTCAATGCGTCTTCGGATAAAAAAAGCTAACAATTTAAAAAACAAAAAAGACAAGAAGTGACAAAAAAGAAAACAAGAAATGTCTTGATCCTGCTGCACTTATAGAAATAGAATCAGCCAGATGATGCATACATGACGTAATAGTTAAAGAGGTAGTGTAGCTACGACAAAGTAGCTGTGGTAAACAAGATATAAAGCCGTCTGACCATGGAATGATTAGCAAGCCATAAAAAAATGGGGAGTATTCTATCTCTGAGGAAGGAAGTTGGGCAAACATTGTATAAAAAGCGGTGTCCTGGGAAAAAAACGTCCATTTGACACTCAGTTTTACTGCGGACATGATGGTCCATGTTTGTCGAAAATGAGTCTAGTTTCCTTTCAGTAACAATCACAAGGATTTACTGATAAGATGCGCACGCTGAACGGACTTATACAACAAATGAAGAAGATGGTAGCCCAGATATCATGCAATTTGTGCATACAGAATTTTGGTGTAATTTAATACAATACCAATAGAGAATTTTTTACTTAATTCTTAATCTGTGAAAGCATTTTGTTGGACATGTGCTATTTTCAAATCTTATACTTTGCCATCCACGGAGAGAAATGGACCATTACTCTACCACGCTGGACTAATGTGTATGGTAGAGACTTAAATGATATGTTATCCCCAAGTGGACACCCATATAGATACTGACTATGTTAAAAGACTTTTTAATCATTTCACCACCAAGTAAGACAAAAAGACAACAAAAGCACAGGGGGTTATTGAGTGCTAGACAATATTAAAAAAAATACTGTTAAGAAGAGAGGACAAAAAAGAACAAGAGTTAAGAAAACAGAAGATAACGATTGACGTTGCATTTAAATTTTCGAAGATCAAAGTTGACGGGGATACAAGAAGCCGGAAGAGTGTTCCAAAAACGAGGAGCGCAACAGAAGAAACTCTTAGCATAGAACTTACGGTTACATCTAGCTATTTCAACTATAAAAGGATGATTCCTTGCCGACAATTTATTTCTTCTTTATGTGCCGTTTCCTCGTAAGACATAGCCGACCATGCATCTTCACAACTTCCTGTGACTTTTAGCTCTTAACAAACTGCGTCTTTCTGTTATTTCTCCTAAACCCTGTTCCGCCATCGATTTACTCAAGCTCACCAAGTATGTTACGCGTTGTTTCCCCTCTACCCGTCCCGTGAGTATCAGATTTTCCAAGCCTGATGTAAAGTATTTCCTTTTTGTTTACATTTTCTTTAAGACTTCGTTGTTGCTCACGTGTTCCGTCCATGGTATCCTCAGCATCCTTCTGTAGAACTAAATTTCTGTTCCTTCAAGTCTCCTCTTTTATCTTTGAGGAGATTGTCCTGCTGCTCTTAAAATCCGTAAATTATAGGTTCCATAGCATAAAGTTCATGAGAAAAATTTCCCATGCAAGTATTTGCTTAAACTTCGGTGATCGGAGGGGAACCGGTGATTCAACGTGATGGAATCTTTACAAATATGTTTAGATGATTTTCTGCCATTAAGCGCCCGTCCTGGGTATGACGATAAACTACGTCCAACAGCAAGGCCTCTGATCAGGAGGTTTTGAGGATCGGGGAACCATCTTATAATTGCTGGCGTTCCAAGGTCCACACTGACCCGGCCTGGTAGCACCTGTTAGGGGTCCCAGCTATGGGAAAATAGTTGACACCCAAATTTGTGTAAAAACCAGAAATACTTTGTAAAAAAAAATATTTTCAGCAATAACTTTTGAAGGAATTATTATTTTTATACTTTAAAAAATACCAGCAATACAAACAGCTATACATTCTTTGAAAAAAAATATTACCAGCTCTAGATTTCTTCAGGGAAAAATATTCCCAGAAATAGATTTTTGAAGAAAAAACATATTACCAGCAATAAAAATTTTGTCGGCATTAAATAACCCATTGAGGTTGATATGCCGTAAAACAAATCAAATCAAACCAAACCAAACCATTGAGCGCGAAACAGTTTTCTTTTCAACAAACTCTTCTAAAGCTGGTCATCTGAGAATTGACAACGCTTCCGCATTGGAATTGAGTTTTAAGATACCGTCTAGATTCAAATAAAAAAATAAAGGAAATTTCCTCGGAAGCTAGCATCAAAATTATCACGGAAGCTAGCATCACAATTATCACGGAGGCTAGAATCACAATTACCATGGAAGCTAGCATCACAATTACCATGGAAGCTAGCATCAAAATTATCACGGAAGCTAGCATCACAATTATCACGGAGGCTAGAATCACAATTACCATGGAAGCAAGCATCACAATTACCATGGAAGCTAGCATCAAAATTATCACGGAAGCTAGCATCACAATTATCACGGAGGCTAGAATCACAATTACCATGGAAGCTAGCATCACAATTACCATGGAAGCTAGCATCAAAATTATCACGGAAGCTAGCATCACAATTATCACGGAGGCTAGAATCACAATTACCATGGAAGCTAGCATCACAATTACCATGGAAGCTAGCATCAAAATTATCACGGAAGCTAGCATCACAATTATCACGGAGGCTAGAATCACAATTACCATGGAAGCTAGCATCACAATTACCATGGAAGCTAGCATCAAAATTATCACGGAAGCTAGCATCACAATTATCACGGAGGCTAGAATCACAATTACCATGGAAGCTAGCATCACAATTACCATGGAAGCTAGCATCAAAATTATCACGGAAGCTAGCATCAAAATTACCACGGAGGCTAGAATCACAATTACCATGGAAGCTAGCATCAAAATTACCACGGAAGCTAGCATCAAAATTATCACGGAAGCTAGCATCACAATTACCACGGAAGCTAGCATCAAAATTAATAGGATTCGAGCAAATCCCTTTGGATTGCAATCCTCTGTTGCCAGGTTTATTTTCAAAGAGTGTTATCTATTTTATGTGTGAGTATCGTAGCGATCATTGGCGGGGAAAATATAATTGGCGTGCTGCTTTCAAATTCTGTCCAAATCATTTCCGTTCACTTAGAACTAATACACCTGGACAATGATTGAATCCATCTTCATTCAGCTATGAGTAACGTCGTAGGGTAGACTTGATTCTTGCCTTGGTTGGTAGAAGGAGAACTCTGAACCTCCGTATATAATAGAGAAGACTATGGGTGCCCCAAGGCGGTGTAATGGTTAGCAAGCTCGTCTCGCTAGATCAATTACGACTATGAAGGGAGTTCGATCCTCACTGGGTGCCCCATGCTTTCGGCCTTGTGCCACATCTAAGCTACGCTTGGAAAATCACTATAATAGAGAAGACTGAACACTTTAGCATTTCCAACCAATCTAGAAAGCTTTTAATTGCATGCATTTATTTGCATGAACAATGCCTTCTTCAATGACGTCCAGGTTGCAGTGAACCATGAGGAATTTCGTTTCTTCGTAGAGATCACCCTGGAGACTCAATTGCAATTTAAAACCAGCCTTAAGAGTGGTGGGTTGCTTCACGCTATCTTGCCCAAAACCCTGCTACAACTGCAATATATTTGGTAACTCTTCGACTCTAATCATTAAAGGCATAAGTGACCTTATTTCTACTTGAACCATAATATCATAGGTAGAATTTTATTAAACAAATGTTTTAAAACTTTAATTTCTTTCTAAAAGTTATATATAATGACGCGTTTCAAAGAAGTAAGGCATTAAAAAAATATTAATAGGACAGATTTAATCGTTTTAAATAATAAATCCGTTATTTTAGAAATTGCTTTGTTTACGTTTGGAAATGGAACTGAGCAGATGTGAACTTTCGAGAAAATGGGAAGAATTTGTGCTCATAAGGCACTATTTGATTTTTTTCTGATCAGTGACAATTGTCCGTGGCCGCGTTTGTTTAGACCACGTCGGATCTAACAACGTCTTTTGCTGATAAGGAAGAAGAAAGTTCGAATCCTGATGGGTGTATATTTTTCTTTAATAAGATTTTTCGAATATTCAGGTCGAGAAACGAAAATAAAGAAATATTCTATTTAATAAATAAACGGGGCGTCTACTCAGATATGTGTATTCGCTAAAAATAACGTTTAAGGTGATCGAAAAAAAATAATGACAGGTTTAATAGTCGTAGGAGAAAACTAAAATTGTACTTATACTCGTCGTATATATCAGGGATATGCGTGTTATTGAGAAAGTGAAATCGGTGTACCGTGTTCGAATTCTGTCCAAGGTTTTGTTCATTCACATAGCGATAATTTCTTCTGCCCCCCCCACTCCAAAAAAAAATAAAAAAATAAAATAAAAACAAAACAAAAAACGAATCCATCATTCTCCAGTTACGGGTTAAATGGCAGGATAGGTTCAGCTATTAAAAGCTGGTTAGGCAATCAATCAGGGTTATTCTGAATTCAAAACGTATCTGAATATTGGATGGACTTCATCAGTCTATATTGCCATAGATACTCCAAATGCTGCAGTACACGTAGTGCTCTTACGTCCTTAGTGGTTTATGGAGCTTGTGATCATGATACGTGGAATATGCTTATTCTTTACTTGTCATTATCCACTGACTTTACCCATACTCCAATACTCTGTTTATGATATATATGGTGCTAGGTTAATATAAATCGATGATTCAACATTGAATTTTGAATTTCTTGGACAGAAGATTTGTAATTTAAAAAAAAATGAAGTGTTGGTTTTAACTGGTTTGGTTGATTCATTCTTTTTACGGTTTGCCAACACTTTGTAGGATATTTAGATCCGAAACATATTTTGGAATGTAAGAAAAATAATAATAATTTTTTTTCCTATGAATATTGCATTAGCATTTGTTTTTTTATGACAATGATTTTTCAGATATAAGAATCCAATTATTTAACCCATAGATGAGGGTTGGAATTGGATTCATACATTTCTTAATCGTATTTACGCGTTTGTAAATGTAGCAAACCCGACTGAAATTCGAACTCGGATCTCTGATTTTCCATTCTGAGCTGTTAGACATTAAAACACCCCATCTCCCTGCATTCACCGAGAATGCTGTTTATTGAAAAGCGAGAAAAGAAAACGGTTTGCCATTGGTTAAAAATTAAGACACGTGTTACGCACAGGATATAATTAATATTCATGATTTATAAAAGGATTTAATAGAAAGAAAAAAAAAACGTTTGAGAAACATAAATTTTGCTTACCTGATCATAAAATCCATGTTGGAACTCTAACCTAATCCGATTTCGTTCGTCTGAGTAAACGGGATGGTTAAGAATCATGTCACACATACGGACGTTTTCCAATTTAATTGCATGCAGAAGACCTTCTTCAATGACGTCCAGGTTGCAGTGATCCATGAGGAATTTCGTTTCTTCGTAGTGATCACCCTGGAGACTCAATTGCAATGCCGTACGGCCAAGGTAGTCCCTACAATTGACATTGACTCCGGCCTGAATGCAACGGAGGATTTGTGACATGTTACCCTCGGCAGCCGCCGCCAGGTAGCAGCGTTCTACATCCGACAAGGGGACATCGCCGAAAATACTTCGCGCCACTTTTTCCCGTTCGTCGGTGTTATCGCGTGCCGAATAACGCCGGCTGGTGTTCATGGTGGACCTGGTGACAGCCGATCGGCGTTGGAAGAGTTTGCTGCCCATGGCTCCCGTCGTCGAGTTCGAAGAGGAGATGAGCTTCCTTTTCGTAGTCTCCTGTTTCAACATTTGAGGGAATCCGGCTGCTTCCGCGGCAGCTGGAATAACTTTGCTAGCGCCTACAGACAAGCTGATTCCAGCTGTGGGTGCCGTGCCCGATGAAGGTGGAGGAGGGCGAGTTAGCGGTGGGGTCGATGTACACGAAGCAAAGCCAGCCGCATTGTTGCTGCTGCTAGTGTTGCTGTTGTTGTTGCTGCTGTTGTTGCTACTGCTGTTGTCGTTGTTGTTGTTGTTGTTGTTGTTGTTGTTTATAACACTCGAAATCACTGCACTTACCATCGAGTGGTGCTGCTGGGATACGGCGTAAGTCGAGCCGGAAGTAGAACCCGATTCGGGACAGGAAGTAGACGAGGTGGAAAAGGAGGAGGTAGAGAAGGAGGAAGTAGAAGTCTGAGGCGGCGGTATGGTGTGTAAGGGGAGCTGAGTAGCTACCGAAGGTAGGCCTGCGGCAGCGGCGGCCGCGACAGCCGACGCCACCCCACTCGAGGCAGTGCTGCTCGTTGTAGTTGACGTGCAGCGAGATGGCGTGGCCGTCGAGGTCGACGGAGGCGTCATTAAAGGCAGAAGCGGAAGAAGGAGCGGCGTCGGCGTCGGCGCTTGCGTTGGCGTCGGCGCTGGCGGCGCCTTCCTCTTCTTCTTCAGAGACGGTCGAGGCGGCGTCGGCGGCGAAACGAGCGGATTGCGCGTCGGCAGAGGCGGCGTCAAGCTGATCTGCGGAGCAATCTCTGCGCGTATGTACCGAGTTTCCACCAGGGGGATACCCGACAGTAGGCTTATGGCCGACGGGGACAGAGGTGGAGAGGAACTGAGTGGCGAATCGGGCAGGGGCTGAGGCGCGGCAACTGTTGAAGTGGAGGAGGACAGGGAAACTGGAGTTGGGATCCTTGGCGATGAAGGGGGTGTGCTCAAAATAGGAAAGGGTAAAGGCGATGGCTTCTGCTGCATGCAACGTCGTGGCATCGTCTGGTTGAGGCATAACAGACCCTCCACCGAGGCCTACCCCCAAAAGACGAAAGTGGCACAAGAGAAGTGGGAGGTCTCAGGGGCACATCAACGCAATAAATGGGACGACCTTTGATAATACAAGTGCCTACAAAACAGTGCCACTCACAAAAAAATTAAGTTAAGATTGTAATATGTCCAATGTAGGATTTATGTTAAGTAATAAATTTGCATATTACATTCCTCCAAATATATTTGCTTATTTGAACAAAGACATTAAACTCTACAGTTGAGTTGAAAACTTTGCTAAAACTCTATCGAAGTATTTATAGAATGTTTTAACATATATTTACCTACAGTTATAGTTATTGACTATTGACTTAGTTATTTTAATAAATAACTAGATTTATTTTTTTACATTAATTTAATTCCAGTGATTATTAATTTAAATAGTGTCAAGAAAATCTTTACAATGTCAAAATTAAACTTTAATTAAAATTTTCTAGTGAGTTGATATTATTTACATTCATTTTTGGTTATCGCCATGCTGCTCGATTTGATATTTCGATTTTTATACTGGCAATAAAGGTAAGGAAATATCGGACAGGTGTAAAAAGAAACGAAAAAAAAAAATGAAAAAGAAGAGTAAGTTTCGGAGAAGCAGAACCAAGATGACAATTTTGGGGCAAAGCAGAGAAAATAAAACAGAAAGCAAAGAAGTGAAGATTATATGCCTTTTTTTTTTTTTGCTTATTTTCTTATCTTTTGATTTGCTGATAAAAAATTCTTTAATCCAAAGGGTTATTGGTTATGGGATAAGCGAATGGCAGGGCAATTGCCCCAATGTTCCGGGAATCGATTTTTCTCTGGTAAAATCCATATTGTTGGCGTCATTGCCACTTGTATCCAGGTGACCATTTGGCTTGTGCCAATGTAGCTTTCTAGACTTAGTCATTCCCCCAATTAGTGGTCGAACCTGCAGAAAAAATACCAAAAGAAACAAGTAAGAATTTAATTGAAAATATACAATGAAATAACAATAACAAAAAATAAAATAACATATTTAAACATTTTACAAAAAAACTGTGTTTTTCAAGAGACAGATAAAACACCAAACTGAGTAAGATATTAATGTAAATCGATATCATATTAAATGGAAAGAGCTGAGCTGTCACAAAAATTGTTTCAGGCATTTATAAGCTTAGTGAAGGGGACTTCACAAGGGTCACGGCAAATGACCCGGACAAAGACGGTCACTGAATGAAATGAAAGATGACAAGAAAAAGAACACTTTTCCGTATAAGACATTGTTCACTACCAGCGGAAGGACTGAAGGGGCCAGGCAAAGGCATGGGGAGGGACAGAAACCACCTAACAGCGACGCGAAAGGCAAGAAGCTCGTTAGCCGGTTCACCTCGCCCTCGTATCGCTTCATCTCTGCCTCGCTCTTTTATAACAGTACGTTACAACCAGAAAAAAAATTGCCTGCTACTACAAATAGATTCATGTTTCTTTTATGTGAGTGACGACCTGACGAAACCCCCCCCAAAAAAAAAGCTATACTTTGAGAACGAACCTGATGTCTGGTCTGATTTGCAACGCTACGCTCACTTTGCAGTCTAGACAGAGTACAAAAGACTTTACGCAGTTTTATAGTGGGTGAATTATCTTCCACCATACGATCCCTTTCCTCGCAAGGTTAATAACCTATTAATATTCCAAGGCTATTTTTCCTGGTAAATGACCAGATGAACAATATTCCTTAGGTTTAAAAATCCAGACATTCACCAACCGTGCCACGTACACATGGCACGTTCTCGAGAATTGCTGTTTTCTGTAATAGACTCCCGAAGAGTTGCTTCCCCGTTCACTACAATTAGGATAATTTATCACTATCATTCAAGAATCAATCGTTAGTCTTCTTCTATAATATCCGTAATGGGATTGATACACATAAATAAAATTTTACGCTTAACTGATTGATGTTACATTCAGATCCATCTGCACCACGAGTCTAGAGTTTCGGAAATGAACTTTATGGTAATTGTTCAGTCTTCTCTTCTAGAGTTTTACACACACACACACACACACACACACACACACACACACACACACACACACACACATATATATATATATATATATATATATATATATATATATATCAGTATCTTACTGTATTTCGGAGATGAGGTATCATGTACATTATTTACATTATTCGGACTATTGTATTCATCTTTGTCGCCATATTTCTTACAACGTTTCGGCCGTTGTACGCTCCGGCCTTCTTGAGGTGGCTGGAATGTCGAACTGAACCCTTTATTTCACTTACTGGGGTAGACTGTTCTAGTTCCACGTGCCATGTTTAATGGATGTTAGTTATCAGTTATCTCCTGATAATTCCCCTCTGAAAGTTCTCCACTGCCTTAACCGATAACTGACATCAATTAAACATGGCACGTGGAACTAGAACAGTCTACCCCATTGAGCGAAATAAAGGGTTCAGTTCGACATTCCAACCACCTGAAGAAGGCCCGAAACGTTGTAAGAAATATGGCGACATGGAAGGACAATAGTCCGAATAATGTAAATAACAATATATATATATATATATATATATATATATATATATATATATATATATATATATATAGTTAAACCTAGAGAGCCAGACAAATATACCAAGATTTCACTTAAACGGATCGTCAGGAAGCCGGCCTTCTCTGACGATCCGTTTAAATGAAAAAACCTTGGTAGGTTTGTCTGGCTCTCGGATTTAACTAGGTCTCATTGTATTGAGCACTTTATTTAGTTATTTTTGGATACTCGCATCGGGGTTTTTTTTCTTTGGACCTTGAACTCGTATGCTGGACGATTATTTTCGGTTAACGTACATGTTCTTGGTTCGTTCTTTTTAATACATTTTTCCCCCCTTTGGTATTGGCTTGTTTATTTGAAAATCAATACACCGAACGTTTTCCGAGCAAGTATAGTTTCTTATACTTATAAAATTTCTATTAATAATAATAATAATAATATATATATATATATATATATATATATATATATATATATGTGTGTGTGTGTGTGTGTGTGTGTGAAAATATATAGAAAATAGGAAGGAACTGGTTAGGTAAATAATCCAAAGTCCCTTAGTATTTTAGTTATTATTTTAAAAAAAATAGTGCTCGATACAAAAGTAGAGCATCTGTTACCATGGAAATTTTGATTTCAATTTTTAAAACACGTAAATTTCAGAAACACGTTATTCAAAAAAAAAATTTCGCATGAAGATGGAACAGAGCTTATTTTAACTCAATTTAATTTAAATAATTATATTGAAGTTTTCGGCTCCGAATGTAATGAGAACGAAAATAATATAAATTCTAATGTTCACAGCATTAATTCAAAAGAAGGCCCATTACCAAGAGTAGAGCAATAATTAATTTTTACATAAGAACTAAAACAACTTGCTCACTACAAAGATGCATTCTTGTTTCTATGCGGCTGCATCTTGACCGGTGAGAACCTAAAATGGTTATGAACATTTCTATTTTCAAGCATGCCGCTTATGGGAAAAGAACCATAGGGTGAGACAATTAAAGAGGAAAGGAGGAAGGGTATAAAAATGGAGAAAAGGGAAGAAAAGCAAAGGGGCTGAAAGACGATATTATTTGTTAATAGCAGATTGGGCGGTGAAGGAATGTTGTGGCGTTAAGACAAGGGCCTAACCCTAAAAGTTTAAAACAAAACCACCCGCCCTTCGGCAATTAACTGTCGTTTTTTTTTCTCATTTTGTCATTTCTTCATTGTAAGTTTGAGATCGTAATCATTTGATTCACTTGTTGGAATGATATTATTCGTGTTGGGTTATTTCTTCCTCGTTTTGCATGTGTGCGCGTGCGTGCGCGCGCGCACCTGTGTTTGTGCGTGCATGCGTGCATCTGTATGCGTATGTGTCAAATGTCGTGGTTTTAGTCTTCTTTCCATCATTGTTTCCTTACAATCTCTATTTCTGATTTTTTTTTCTTTTTCTTTTTCGGCTCTGAGTCTAAAAGACAACGTACGGGAACTTCTTCCGCCTTTTACGCTTTTACATATTGAGTGGCTCTCGAGGCAATATTGAATGTAGCAATATATATATGCATTTATATAAACCTCATTAATATAAACAGAAAGTAAATACGTGAAAAATCTTTGACCGCTTAAACCATACACTAATGTGTTGAAATTAGATAAAATCGAGCAAAGAGTTTGGAAGAGAAACTCAAGCAAAAAATTGAAAAAAAAAAAAAAGGAAAAGAAAAGAGTAAAGAGTTTAGAAGAAAGGATCCGAATCATTGAGCAAAGTGTTTAAAAGAAAGGATCCGAAAGAATCGGGGAAAGTGCTAAGAAGAAAGTATCCGAATGGATCGAGTAAAATGTTTGAAAGAAAGGATCCCGGAGAACTGAGCAAAGAGTTTGGAAGAAAGGAGCTTATAAGTAAATATATGGAAGAATCGGGCAAAGAGTATGCACGAAAAGCTCAGAAAAGGATCACGCTAAGAGTTTAGAAGAAAGGATCGAGAAAAGAGCTTAAAAGAAAAGACCTAAGGGGATCGAGCAAAGCGGTTAAAAGAAAGGACCTAAAAAGATCTAGCAAAGAGTTAAGAAGAAAGGATCCGAAAAGATCGAGAAAAAAGCTTAAAAGAAAGGACCCAAAATGATCGAGCAAACAGGTTAAAAGAAAGGACCCGAAAGGATCGAGAAAGAAAGGACACAAATGGATCGACAAAAGAGGTAAAAAGAAAGGACCCAAAAGGATCTAGCAAAGACTTAAAAAGAAAGGATCAAAACGGATCGAGCAAAGAGGTTAAAAGAAAGGATCCGAAAGGATCTAGCAAGAACTCAAGAAGAAAGGCCCCAAAAGGATCGAGTAAAGAGCTTAAAAGAAAGGACCCAAAAGGATCTAGGAAAAACTTAAGAAAGGCTCCAAAAGGATCGAGCAAAGCGCTTAAAAGAAAAGACCCAAAAGAATATAGCAAAGAGGTTAAAAGAAAGGAATCGTAAGGATCTAGCAAAAAGTTTCGAAGAACTACAAATCTGATACAAAATTGTAACTAATCAGATAATATCGTCATAAAATTTTTTGGAGATACCGAGGAGAGAGCTAGTGTATTGAGTATATAGATATTTTCACTTGATCTTCAGCGACAGCAAACAAATACTAATAGCGTGGAATCATAACGAAGACGAAATAATGATAATGAAGAAATGTTCATAGAAGGAGTGGTCTTTTGCAGATTCAATTGTCTTGAAATCGTTTTGAAAATGCAAATGGAACATATTAATTGCTTTCTTTCGTGATCAATCAATGATTTGTAATTTTTATTCATTAATAAAATAAAATAGAAAAAGGAGTGTATATATGTTTGTCAAATGAAAGTCAACTAGTGAAAACAAATTATATCCAATTTATATTTCATTCTACTGGTACTGATGATAAAAAAAAATAGATGGACTGTTGTATATAATGTTTTCCGTAAACCTTATGAGGTATTCCATTAGAAGAATAAAATGGCCGACTCTATATAATGGTTTTATTAAAAACTTAATGGGTGTTTAAACTGGAAAATGAATATATGGTTGGCTGTATATAATGTTTTTATTAAAAAATATCAATTCTACTAGTTCGTGGGAGCGGACCATGAAAAGATGGCACAAAAAACTCATATTATATTCTTCGTAAATATCCCCGAGTGAATTTACACCACGAAGTCCTTTCTACATTTGTTTCACTAAACTTTTGGTTAGCATCTATTTATATATATATATATATATATATATATATATATATATATATAATTTTAAATATTTCTTTAATATGTTCTCAATAAATATGCTAATAATAGTAGTTAACTTATATTAAGTCCCTAAACTATTTACTTAAAAAAAATAATTTTTAAATTGATGACATTCATCATTTTTTAGACATCTAAATTTCTATCAAGCATTGAAATCTATCTTTTATATAATTTTGTTAAAACAAGACTACAGCCTCTTTCGATTCACTTCTCTCTCCCCCTCTCTCTTTGCCGTAACACTCATTTGGATATATCGGTATTACTTTCGTCTGTCTCCTCTCTTTTTTTTCCTTTTCTTTTCTCCCCTCCCATTCCTACATATCATTTCCGTTAAGTTAACCATCAAAATAGGTCAAGGTTCGGTCACTCCTCCTACCCCATTATAAAGCATGCTTAAGAGAGATATGAAATTAACCCCTCTCTATACTCTACCTTGTCTCTTTACCTACCACTCACACCCCTCTGTTAAATTACAAAAATTACACTACCCATCAATTTCTAATCCCATTTTTCCTTTCGTTTCGTTGTTGGAATTGTTACCTGATGATCCGGAGTCCTTTAAAAAGGATTTTGGTGAAATAAATTATTGTAATGGTACCTTAAAGTGGTCTGTTTTTCATTAAATTTATATATATATATATATATATATATATATATATATATATATATATATATATATATATATATGGTCATAATATATATATATATTATATATATATATATATATATATATATATATATATATTCCCAAGAGGGTAGAATCCAGGCAGGACTCAATGTCAGGACAGAGTAAGAATATAATATATATATATATATATATATATATATATATATATATATATATATATATATATATATAGAGAGAGAGAGAGTAAGAATATAATATATATATATATATATATATATATATATAAATATATTAGTGTTTAATCCTTTTATATATATATATATATATATATATATATATATACACAACTTGCGATGGATAAATTGTCATCTAAATTGCGCAAAAATGAAAATTACACTGGCATTTAATTTATATATTTACCAAAAATAAAAAAAGTATCTTGAAATACTGAAGAATAAATTTATTCAGCAAAATAGCAATTGTCTCTAACCACAGCCTCCAGGCGACTTCGGAATCTCCTGCCGGTCTTCTGGACGGTTTCCTTGTTTTAAGTTGCTGAATGCTGCGATAATCCTTGCCTTCAGTTCACCTTTGGTGTTACAAGGAGTTTTATTGGTCTCTCTCGCTCAACTGCGCCCTACACGTAACAATCAAGGGGGTTGCAGTCTGGGGAGTTAGGGGGTCAGATGTATGGGATAATGTCGCAGAAATTCCCTGGACGTCATGACTTGGTTCCCCAGTTTGTATGGCATGGTGCAGAATCCTGTTGCCAGCTATAGGTTCTCTCAGCAGCCACCGTATTGACCCAGAGCAGCACTACCTCCTCAAGAATCTTGATGTAAGTCTCCGTGTTAAGTATGAGGCCCTCACCAAAAAATTCGGGAGATCTTTTCTTATCAGAACGATCATAATGATTTTTTCCGAGCTGCTGTACGGTCGTAATCACCATTACACTCATTCAACTCTTCCCAAATCCTCGTCGCAATCCTAAGATTGACACCCAAACATTCTGAAACGTTTGTATTGGGGCTTCCAGTGTATTACAGCATGCCTTTTCCAAATCTCTGGCGGAGTGAAGCGCGATAAATGCCAATAAATCCAGTGATAATGTGGATTGGAATCTTTAAAGCGTTTATCTGTCAATATTGATCTTTCTCCGGTAAAACCTGTAGCCTAAAGGGACCCAAAAGTGAAAGCTCTGTTTTCTTCTTGGGTCTCATCGCTTTTCGCGGTGAAGAGGGCCCTGATTTCCCGTGTAATGTAAGTCTTAAATCCTGCACATCACAGACGACCACTCAATGACCATCTCACCATATTATTCAAAATTAGGACTTGAGTCCACATCATTCTAAGCTTCGTAATTGTACAGCACATAACGCTTCCCAAAAAATAAAAAAAGCAAATATTTATTATTAATTTTGTAGCCCGTACTATTTTAATTCTTAGAAGCCTTTTGGAAGTCCCAGTCATCATCGTTAAAACTCTACAAACTGATCAATCACAACGGGATTCACACAACTTCAAACAAGTTTCGTTTCTGGGCAGCTTTCAACATCATATAAACCGCCATCTTTTCCAATTAATTCATCCCAGTTATCTCCCTTATTTGCCTGCCTCTTACCTATTTTGCTCAGTTATTCGCCGAAGACCCATTGAACGTTGACATTAGCGACATGTCAGTTTTGTAGTCCGCGTAAAAGTTATTTAACTTAACTTACGTCCTTTTTCAAATGGATCTGGAGCGTCTAAAGGGTGATTGAAAATCAACCCCCTATTTTATGCATAATGGACTTTCCCGTCTTGTAAATATTATAGTTGGACGGGAGAGTCAATCATACATTAAATGATGAGTTACTTTTCAATAACATTGCTCAAGCGATAATTAAGTCCATGCACATAGTTTTATCACTTTGCTGGGTAACAGGTTTATACGATTTTTATCACATACAGTCGAGTTTCGGTTCTGTATATTGGTAATTCGATAGACGACAAATATCTTTCTTTCTATGTGCCGTGTCCTTTCAGGACGTAAGGGATCATGGCTCTTCTCTATCCCTTGAAGCTCTCAACAAGTTCCTTCCCTCTGCCACTCGCCACGTTTTGTCATCCACTTGCTTAAGGCCATGTCATGCATTGTTTTCTCATGTCTCACTTTCCTCCAATTCAACCCGTGAGTATCAGATTCTCCATGCCCTCCTTCCTCATTATGTATCCCATGAACTTCAGCTGCCTCTTCCTGATGTTAAGTATAAGCATCCTCACTAAGACCTCATACGCTCGCTCCATGATATTCTTAGGATCCTTCTGTAGAACCACATCTCCGTCGCCTCATCTTTGAGGAAATCGTCCATCATTCGCTGTCGTAAAGAAGGTAAAGATGTCACGTAACAGCTGAGTATTCTTCCTTTGTTATCAAAGAAATCTTCCTGTCTCGCAATACTCTGCTCAGCTCTTGGAATACTTCCTTGGCCATCCCAATACGTCTACGGATCTCAGTGTCGCACTTACGGTCCTCTGTCAAAACGCTTCCCATATATTTAAAAGTTGCTTCCTTCTGCCACCTCCCTCAGGCGACGTTCTGTCATCCATTTGCGTAAACCCGCTAGGTATGTCATGCGTTGATTTCTCTTGTCTCTCTTTCTCTCTATTCGACCCTTGAGTATCAGATTCTCCAGGCCGCCTTTCCTCATTAAGTATAAGCCTCCTCCTTGTTTGCATCCTCTCCAAGACCTCATCATTGCTCACTCCATGATATCCTTAGCATCCTTCTGTAAAACCACATCTCTGTCGTCTCGAGTCTCTTCTTCATCTTTGAGGAAATCGTCCAACATTCGCTGCCGTAAAGAAGGACAGGTGTCACGTAACAGCTCAGTATTCTTTTCTTTCTTATCAAAGAAATCCGCTTGTCTCGCAGTATTCTGCCCAGGTTTTGGAATGCGTCCTTGGCCATCCCAATACGCCTACAGATCTTAGTGTCGTCCTCTGTATATTAGTAATTCACTAGTCGAAAAATAAGTCTACTGATCTGAATCGCTGTAATCCTATTCTGACTGCTATCCTTCATCTCTTCTCATATCGCATCTTCACTGACAGCTCCCGATTTTATACTTCTTGACCTTGTGTTTTGCGTCACGTGCTTGACCTTGTTTTGTATTTAACCCACTGTATGAACATGTAAATATTCTCTGATAGAATGTATTTGTAGAAGAGACAAAATGAATATAAAGAGATATGAGGAAAAACATTGCATTGATAAAGTCCCTTAGGAGATGAAACGCATCGGCTAAGTATAGTTTTTCTACTTCTCACTATTTGTTCATATATATATATATA